GACCAGGTGAATATTTCTGTAGTACTGTAGGACCAGGTGAATATTTCTGTAGTACTGTAGGACCAGGTGTATATTTCTGTAGTACTATAGGAGCAGATGTGGAGTAATGTTGTAATGTAGGACCAGGTAAATAGCTCAGCAGTACTGTAGGAGCAGGTTTATAGCTCTGTAGTACTGTAGGAGCAGGAATGAAGTACTGTATTATTATAGGAGTTGTATTCTCACAGTGGAAGGATAAACAGAAACACCTGTGTTTTTTTTTCAGATCTGTAGCAACAGTGGAGCTTGATCTTCTCCTCTCTTGCAAAGATTAAAGTTCTGTTTATCTGATGGTGACAGTTTTGGTGGTCTGCCAGGTCTTGGATGGTTGCTAGGAGTCCCATTTTATCTATACATTTTGGAAACTTCTTTTTTTTTTCATATATTTTCCTTTGACACTCCTCTTCCTTATAAAAGAGAATTATCCTATATGGGCCATTCTACTGAATTAGTTCTATCTTCAGTCCTACAGTAAGAAAAAATAATTCGAAGTACTATATTATTATAGGAGCAGGTGTGGAGTACTGTAGCACTGGGTGAGCAGATGTGGAGTAATGTAGTACTGTAGTACCAGGCATATAGCTCTGTAATACTGTAGGACCAGGTGTATAGTTCCATAGTACTGTAGGAGCAGATGTGGAGTAATGTAGTACTGTAGGAGCAGATATATAGTTTTTTAGTACTTTAGGACCAGATGTATAGTTCTGTAGTACTGTAGGACCAAGTGTATCATTTTTTAGGACTGTAGGGCCAGGTTTATAGTTCTGTAGTACTATAGGAGCAGGTATGGAGTACTGTATTATTATAGGAGCAGGTGTGGAGTACTGTAGTTCTGGGTGAGCAGATGTGGAGTAATGTAGTATTTTAGGACCAGGTGTATAGTTCTGTAGTATGGTAGGGGCAGATGTGGAGTAATGTAGTACCATAGGACCAAGTGTATAGGTCAGCAGTACTGTAGGACCAGGTGTATATTTCTGTAGAACTGTATAAGCAGACCTTCAGTAATATTGTAATGTAGAACCAGGTATATAGCTCTGCAGTACTGTAGGAGCAGGTGTAAAGTTTTTTAGTACTGCAGGAGCAGGTAAGGAGTACTGCATTATTATAACAGCAGTAATGTAGAGTACTGTAGCGTACTGGGAGAGTACTGTAGTACTCAGATAACCTATGCCAACAATTATCTGAATACTTCTAAAAAGATTCAAGTGCAAACATGAGAATCTAGAAAGAGTGAACAAATATATTATTGAAAGAAAATACGTTTGACCATTGGGCCTACAGATTGCATTTAAATTAATGTATTTTATGAGTTTTTTTTTAATATGAACCATAATATTACATATAAAATTTATTTAAAAATTGGAAAATGAATACCTCCCAAAGTTTCTGTTGCAGCATGTATAGTTTGTAGCGCTGTATAACTGATATCTGAGATGTAGGCGACCCAAGATGTTCTTCTATAAGCTTTACTGACTGCAAGTCAGCAGTAATTCATAAGCCATTTTTAATGATTCATAAACCTTTTTTACAATTCCTCAGCACTTTTCTACTTAGAGTGCTTATCCTGACACAAAATTAATTCAGGGCCAATTTTAGAGCCATAGTGCAAATGCTTGCAGAGTGTGCTCATGTATTAAAGCTGCTGGAGGGTATATTTAATGGCTCTGGACTACAAGCAAAGTGCTTGCTTAATCTCCACATACATTATTAATGTAGTCGTATATCTGAGAGAAATGATTTCCAAGTAAACAAATACTTCTTAATAACTGTAAAAATTATCTCACAATAATTATCTCAAAATAAAGTTGTAGGTGTCTCCATGTTTAACAGCAGCCTTTTCCCCAGTCTGGTTCAGCTTGATAATCTGATTGAGAGTTATAACACCACAGCAGAAACAGACATTTCAAGGAAGATTTGAAAAGCCTTGAAGCTGATAGTAGTGGGGAGAACGTGATAGGAGAATCAGATAAATCTAAATGTCTGAATTTCCAGTCTGATAAGATTTGAGCCTGCCAGCTTCCAGCACCTGACAAACACATACATGTGCGCATAGACTACACAAGCTCTATACCACATACTAACATGAAAGAAGTGTACACAAACATGGCATGCTTATTACCCTTCACACATTATCACAAGTCCCCTGGTCATTTCAAAGCTGTCACTGAAAGGAATGCTTAAAGCAAGAGTTTCAAACTACCAGCCCACTCGTCACATATTTGAAATTTATCCTTAAATCCAACACTTTACTCGCAATAACAATCACTGCCATCTCAAGAAAAGTCCCATCTAATTCTGCTTTTAAATGTAAGTTTAATTATATATTTCTAAATCACTGTATTTATACTACTACTAATAATAATTGTACTACTATTAATAACAATAATTTGTAGTAGTATTATAATTATCAATATTATTAGTAGTAGTATAAATAAACGCACACATTTTCTAAGCCGCTTATCTTTCTGGGTCGCAGGGGGAGCTGGAGCCTATCCCAGGGCGGAAGGCAGGAAACACCCTGGACAGGCAGTATACAAATACAATAATTAAGAAATATTTTAGTATAATATGTGTAGTAGTTGCAGTAGTAGTAGAAGTAGTAGTAGTAGTAGTAATAGTTGTTGTAGTAGTAGTAGTAGTAGTTGTAGAAGTAGTAGTGGTTATGGTGATCATAGTAGTAGTACTAGTTCTTGTAGTGGTAGCAGTAGTTGTAGTAAAAGTAGTACTTATTATAGTTGTAGTAGTAGTTATCATAGTGGTAATAGTGGTAGTAGTAGTAGTATGGGTAGTATTAGTAGTAATAGTAGTAATAGTCGTAGTGATCATGGTGGTAGTAGTAGTTGTAGAATTAGTTCTAGCACTAGTTGTATTAGTAGTAGTTATCATAGTGGTAATAGTGGTAGTAGTAGTGGTAATAGTAGTTATCGATGTAGTAGTTGTAGTAGTTGTAGTCATTGTAGAGTATCAGCAGTAGTAGACATAGTAGTAATTGTTATTGTAGTGGCAGTAATAACTATAACAGTAGTAGTAGTGGTTTGTTGTGACAGAAGAATTCCCAATAAACATATATATATATATATACTTTTTCCCATATTTTAGTTTACACAGTAAAATTCATACTTGGATCAGATATTGTAACATGCCTTTTAAATAATGTTTACTGTGATTGTTTCTTTCCAAACAAATTACTGAAAGTACTTCTGGGTTCTCTCTTGTATTTTCCAGTTAGTACAGATAAATATGAGTTTTAGGGAGTAATTGAGAAGTAATATAATAAATAATTAGCTTACTTTGTTCAAGATAAGTAATCAGTAAAGTAACTGCATTACAGTTTGAAAGAAAAATAAGTAATTAGTAATTTAGTAATTATTATTACAATGTTTGAGAAACCAAGCTGCATTAACATGAAATTTATTCTGCATTATCACTCTTTCCTTCCCACTCCTTTTCTTAGATTGTTTAGTTTCAGCACCAGGTGGCCAGCTATATGGCCAGTCTGCTCAGGGTGAGGATGTGACCATAAGAGGGTTATTTTTTTATTATTATTTTCTTTTTTACTTATAGCCTCATTTTTCAGCCAACAGAGCCAGCCTCCTTGTCTGATTGACTTCTGAGTAGGGTAATGGTGATCTAGGATGGCTTAAGGTTTGAGAGAGTGACATACAACTTAATTAGAAAGTCTCCTCCCAATATTTAATGTATTCAGTGTCTATCTCGTGTCAATCTAGTGGACTGACTCATGTGCAGTTTCCAGAGTTGTGCATTACCTCCAAGTGTTCTTGAGGACAGGAATGGGGAGAGGCAACTTCCCTCCACTGCAGGTTTGCAAGGCATGCAAGGCTTCTCAAAGCTGGTAAGAAGGCCTTGTACCAGACCTGTATGAAGTCATTTTTTTTTTCAGGGAGCTAAAAGCAAGAGCTGACTTTATATGGAGAGCCAATCTCTCTGTCCCTGAGGACATTTGGCCTCAATGAAGACTCCTGTACAGGGATCCTCTGCCCAAGCACTCTGAATACCTCCAATGGAGGGTCAGACACTGTATAGTACCCACTAATGCCATTGTGTTTACAAATAACTCTGCTGTTTGACCATGTTGCCTTTTCTGTCATGACCCTGATCCAGCGGGTTGAGGTTTTTCTTTACTTATAATTTTTAGATGTTATAAAACTGTTTCAGGCCTTAGTGGAATCACGCATAAGAGTGAATTTGTGTTCCATCAGAGCCTCAGAATGTTTCTGGGTTTGGGAGGAAATGGTGTGTTGATGGCCATTTGCGTTTGTAGATGAAGGGTGTGCAACTAATTCATTGGTGAGTGGGATCTGTACTTCCCTCACTCTTTTTTCTATCTTAGTGATATGTGTATCTTTAGACCTTGACTTATGGTACTTTAATAAAGAGGTTTTAAAGTCAGTCCCTCATTCTTTCTCTGTCTCTTTCTTTTTGTCTCACTATCTCCCTCTACCCCTTCTCTCTGTCTCTTTTTTCCTCCATATTCATCTTCTCTCTCTCTCTTTCTCTCTCTCTCTCTCTCTCTCTCTCTCTCTCTCGCTCTCTCTCTCTCTCTCGCTCTCTCTCTCTCTCTCTCTCTCCCTCCTCCCTGTCTCTCTTTCCTTTCCTCTGTCTTTCTCTTTTTTCTACTCTCACTTTCTTTATCACGTTCTATGCCTCCATCTTCATATTTTCACCTAAGTACGACCCTTTCTACGGCCTGTGTTTGTATATGGCTATGTGCTTTACTTTATATGCCCTGTTAGTAATATGTATGGCCGAAACACCTGAACTTAATAATTAGGAGGGGTGTCCACATACTTTCCGCCATATAGTGTATATACATATAAATATCAGATGGAGGTTATAAGACCACATGATGCTAGTAATTTTTTCACACATTCAAGATCTTCAAAGCAACCAAGTTTTTACCACATATGTGCTTCTTTCTCTGTGTGTGTGTGAGAGAGTAGGTAGTTGGACGTGTCTTGCTGCTTCAGCTGATTGATTACCTGACCAAAAGTTACCTGAGCGACCCTTTTGTGACCAGACTGCTCAACAGCACACGCGTCCACATCCTGCCCTCAATGAACCCAGACGGCTTTGAATCATCTGGACGAGACTGCATGTACTCACAGGGCAGGTGAGAGAGAGAGAGAGAGAGAGAGAGAGAGAGAGAGAGATTTGTTGATTCATTAATTATTTGATAGATAGATTGATTATTAAATGGAATGACTGATTAAAAGTTTGATTAATTGAGAAATAGACTGACAGAGTTTGATTGATTTATTAATTAATATGATTAATATGACTGATTTTTATTCCCATACAGTATTAAAAAAAAGACAAAGAAGTGAATATTCAAAACAGAAGATGAAAATGTAAAGCTGTGTTGCTGATTCATCCTTCATCTCTTCTGAAGGTCTATTATTTATGGTCTTTTATATATAACACTGTCGACAATCATAACTTGGTGCCTAGGCGTGTCCTATAAGAGTAAAGAGGGCAGGAGGGGTGAGGCTTATGATGTGGACACACCCACACAATTTGTTTCTGAGGTGCTTACACATTGTCGTAGTTTTTGGGGTTTTTTTTGGTTAAAAAGTAGCATTAAAAAGTTTTAAGAATATAACATTTATTAGATACTAAAATAATTAGATAATAACCGAGTATAATAATTAGAAGAAAGATATTTTCAACACAGAAAATAGAATGAAAAATCTAATAATATGTGTATTGTTACACCCTTTTATAGACAGAAAGCTAGACAGATTAGTTGACTGATGGACTGGTTTATAGCTAGTTAGATTGATAGATACAGTTGTATGCAAAAAATTTGGGCACCCATGGAAAAATTACATGTTATGCTTGTTTTTCTAAGTCAAAATAAGTTTATATCCTCTATGGAGAACACACTTCTGCACAGTTTAATAGACAATTTTATATTGTATGTTTTTTTCCCCAATATATTAAACTCAACACATATACAGAAATTGTGCACTAAAATTAGCAGAAAAATACCATATTTAAGTTTGTTTCCTATGGGGGATGTGCTGACATGTAATTTTAAGGTGTTTAAACTTTTGTCTACAACTGTAAATAGATAGATAGATAGATAGATAGATAGATAGATTAGTGGATGTATTGATTTAATGATGAATTTTTGACTAATATTGGAAATTGATATGTAAAAGTATTGGGATTTGTATTTAATCTTAATGTTAATATTAATCTCAGTATTTATCCTCACATAAAAATAAACTAACTTTGCATGACTCTGAAATGATAGAACACATATGTTTAGAAATCTGCTCAGAATTGATTATTATCAAGCATTGTCAAGTTAACTTAGACTCCTGGCAAGCATATGGATAGTTTTTCTCCTGGTTGTCTTCTGTTTGGGTCTTTAGGTTTCTGAATAGCTGGTTTATGATTGCTTTCAATTCATCTATCCATCTTGTAGCTGGTCTTCCTCTTCATCCTTCATCTTCAAAATGCTCCAAACGTCTTTGGTTATTTCTAATGACTTGGTTCTTTCTCAGAAACAATCACCGGCAGAAAAAGGAAAACAAAAACATTGGAGATGTCCTGATTACAAGTTGCCAGATCATCAAAGCATTTGTTACACTCCTCTAGGACAATGACAACAGTGTTCATGGCAACAATCAAAAAATAGATTCTTGATTACACAAGCAACAGCCTGAGGAAAACAACATTTAACTGAAAGCATCATCCTTACGATGTTTCTGTTCCTAATTGAGTGAGTTAAAGTTGAATTGTATACCATTTGACATCTTCTGTTTTACAAGATAAGAGACAGGCAGGAAGTGAGCAGCTTTTTCCATAGGAGATTATTATAATTAGCGCTGTTGCTCATGACTTTGTTCTAGACTGTAACCCAAATAAGCAGAGGGAGAAAAAGTAGATTTTGATACTCTATAGGAGGAAGAGAAGGGACATCAGCAGCAGCTGGAAATATACAACAGCAAAACTTATATGTCCTGCCTGAAAATGTGTCCTTTCATAGCTACTGTTGCCACAGGATGCTGGCAAAAATGCCACTCAGTCTACTGTGAAACTGTTGAACTCCATTTTTGTCAAAACATGTAAATTATTCACACCAGACTGCCACAGTATTTGTTTAATACTATGTTGAGTTTCCAGTTTAAAATGTTATGTTCCGGAGCTGGACTGTGTTCATCAAGGTACAAACAATGTAAATGTATCCTCAAAGGTACAACAGTGGTTTTAAGGTCCAGTTGTATACCTTAAATTTAAAGTTTTTCCCAGGTGAAAAGTACATATTTGTACCTTTAATAACTTAATGTTTTAAAACAGAGCAATACAATTAAAAGCCTGGAGTTGAAATGGGGTCTTTGGAGTCAATGCAACTTGGATGGTACAATTATGTTCCCTGACTAAAGGTACGGAGATGTTCCTTTGAGGGGGCAACCCCAGTGACCAGAGAGGTACTGCCCCAGTGACAGTTTCATATGTTTATTTCTGAGAGTGTAGCTACTTGAAACCAGACGGGTTGGAAATAAGAATAACGTGTTTGCCACTCTGCGAACATTAGCTTGATTACATAACAGGAACCTACAAATAACACTTCCTAACACTGTGACCTTTCACATTCATGCAAAATGAGTATAATTTAACTCTAGATTTACACATTTTAACAAAAACTGGTTTTGTTTTTGTTGTGCGCTACAGTTTCTCATTAGTTTAAACAGAAATTTTAAAAGTTTGTCATACTTTAGAACACATTTGTGGGCAAAGGTCATGTGAAAGTTCATCCCAATTAACAAAATGATTGGAAATCAAAGGGTATTTTAGGGTGGAATGCAGACAATCAACAGTGAAGAAACTGACTAAAGACTCTTAGAGCTGAACAGGGAGCTAAACTAAATCTATCCTTCATTTCCCCATGAATAAAATACTGTCAGTCACATGAATAAACACCTGTAAGGTTTTGTTCCAAAATGCATTATAGACCACTTCTTATTTTTGTTTTTTATGATAGGACATCATCCCAATTATTGCCAAAAGTAAACTAAGAGACAAAACTGTGTTGATGTAACATATTTTAGTCAGTTCATGGGAACATGACTAAAATATGTTATTGAATCCACCCAGAGAGAATGAAGTCACTTATGTTCTCTTAAACTCCCTTGTATGCATGGCTCTGGGACCAAACTTGTGATCTCCTGACAACAGAACTAATGTTTAGATGATTACGCTATAAGAAGCTTGGAAAAATCTAAGTTAATTAAAGTTACACAATTTTACGTAAACACAAAATCAACGAAATCTTGAAAAGCTGAAAATATCAGTAGGAGCTTTTTTCTATCATGAGGGTCTGTCCTCAGTTTGGCATTTCCTAGGCCAGTCCAGTCTGACCACTGTCCACTCTATAAAGCACATCTGCACAGCCTGAAATAGAGAGCAAAACACTCAGTTAAAGACAGCACAGGCTCTGAGCTGGACCTGTACGCACACTGACTAAACTGACTACTTTCACACACCACCATTTAAAAGTTTAGAATCACTGTTTTCAACAAAACAAAAATCTGGTGTTAGATATATGTATAAAATGATTATAATGTGCCAGTAATGTACAGCTTCACAGCCTTTATATCAATATAAGTAATCTATGGAGCTGTAAATAAAATGAATAAATGTTAGATATGTTTAGAATGATGAACAGAGCAGTACATGATTCTAAAATGACTGAGACTGTTGTAGAACACTGAAAATAAAGTTATAATACCCTAACTTTGTATAAATATTTATATGACAATTTTACATTATATATAATTTGATAACTTCTTTTTGTTCTGAAAAACTCTTATATCAAACATCAGGCAGTAGAAAGTGTCGTACTTAGGTGAAAAGATGAAGATGGTGGCATAGAACGTGACAAAGAAAGTGAGAGTAGAAAAAAGAGAAAGAGAGAGGAAAAGAAAGAGAGACAGGGAGGAGGGAGAGAGAGAGAGAGAGAGAGAGAGAGAAGAGAGAGAGAGAGAGAGAGAGAGAGAGAGAGAGAGAGAGAGTGAGTAATGAGTGTTCCAGTGCAGCTGGTGGTGTTTTGGTATTTTTACTCCCTGTGGTTCACTTACACTCACTCTGCCCTACTATGCGGGTTGGCATGGCAACATCAACCATCAGTCACATGAACACTATATGTTTGAAAGGTTTTGATCCAAAACGCATTATAGACCACATTATAGACTTAATGATTAGCTTTCTTTATTGTTCATGATTTTATTTATGTTTATTTTTACATTTATAAGTAACAGCAAGTTCACATATAGCTGCTGTCGGAACAAAACCTCGTATCTCCATTTTTGTTGTTTTTCAGGTTTTGACATCGTTTTAAAAAATGACTGTTTCCCTTTACATTGTGTGTTCATTTCATGATGAACGGACCAAAAGAAATGACAAAAAAAATGACTTAGAAAAAAGTCTGGTTCCGTTCACTTACATTACCATTTAGGAGATACGAGGTTTTGTTTCGACAGCAGCGATATGCCCTCACTGCACTGGCTGCTGAAAGCTACTTGTTGGGGAGGTATTCAGAAATGTTTTACTGTGCAAAAGTCTTAGGCAACCAAGAATATTGTTTAAAAATGATTTATCTGTGCAATAAGTGTTTTTGCCAGTAAAACACTAATAAATAAACAGTTACAATAAACATAAATACAGTTAAACTTGAAAAGAATGTTTGTTTTTAGGAAAGGTCTCAATATGTTGTTTAGAGGAATACAGTTAGAAGAACACAGGTTTGGTTCCTCACACTCCAGTCATTGCATTGTCCATCAGCAGCACCTGAATGAAGGACTGATTAGATAAACTAGGTATTGGTTGGTAACCGCAAATACTGGAAAATACCAGACTTCCTCAAGAAGTAAATGAGCAGTAAAGGTCTGCTGCCCGGATAAATAGCTTTACATATCATTTTCTCAGACTCCTGCACAGCACTGTATATACATTTACATTAATATTTTGAAAACAAATTCAAAGATAGACCTCACCTTCAGTATTTTTATTTTTCAGATGCATACATTTCAAGCATTTAAGAATATGCTTTTGCAACAAGATGTTGCAAAAGGTTATGAAAAATGAGCTTTAAATGCAATAAAC